GAACACCTATCCCCTTCCTTTAATCCCTCCTCTCATTGCCAAGCTAAGGGATGCCAAGTACTTCACCAAGATGGACATCCAATCTGGATATAATAATATCTTGATCCACCCTGACGATCGCTGGAAAGCAGCATTCACCACCTCCTTTGGACTCTTCGAACTGAAAGTCATGTTCTTTGGCTTATGCAACTCTCCTGCAACATTCCAAGCCTATATGAATCAGACCTTCCAGAAAGAAATCACTGAAGGCTGGATGATTGTTTATATGGATGACATCCTCATTTTCTCAAAAACCCTAGAAGAACACCAGAAATGAACATGCCATATCCTGAATATCATCTGAAAAGAAATCCTTTTCCTGAAACCTGAAAAATGCACCTTTGATGCTCAGGAAGTTGATTATCTTGGAATGATAATTCACCCCAGACAAGTTGCAATGGATCCAGCCAAATTATCTGGCATTAGTCAATAGACAACTCCAACTTCAGTAAAAGAAGTCTGCTCATTCCTTGGATTCTGCAACTTCTATTGCCACTTCATCTCCCACTACTCCAACCTCGCACGACCCTTGAAAGATCTGATGAAGAAAGATGCTGTCTTCACATGGTCACAAGCATGCACTGACTCCTTTGAGAAACTAAAGCAATGTTTCTTATCAGAACCCATCCTCTGTAACCCTGACCCTTCCCAACAATTCGCCCTCACAACTGACACTTCACTCATTGCCACTGGAGCAGTCCTCCTTCAGACTGATGAGAATGGTGCATATCACCCATGTGGCTATCTCTCCCAATCCTTTAATCCCGCTGAATGAAACTACCAGATCTATGATCGTGAACTCCTTGCTATCATCCATGCTTTGAAAGCATGGTGACACTATCTTGAAGGGAACCCTCACCCTGTCATTGTAGTCACCAATCACAAGAACCTCCTCTATTTTCACTGTAGGGATTTCATATTCTGTGGGTGTTAAGGTCATACTCAAGGGATAACTGAATCCAAAGGGCTTCGGCCTCAGCTCATGTGCTGTGCCCCTTACCCAAGTATTGCCCCTTATTTCAGGAAGGCAAGACTAATGCATCCGGAAGGTTGGACGAGTAGTGTAGCAGATCCGGATGACTTCCAGATGAGGGATAAGTATCGTAGGGCTAATCCAGATGAGTCCAGACTAGAAACTAATGGTAATGGACTGTTGGAGACAGAGGCGGATATGGATAGACTATAGGAATCAATCCTAAGTCTTGGAGGGTGATGAGAGTAGAGATACTCAAGTCCAGAGGACAGGAATGAGTAGAACTAAGATGATATTTGAACTGAGGTACTACAGAGAGTTACAGGAGGTTATATACTATAGGTATCTAACAGAATGATCAATCAGCAGAGTCTGAGGCTATGTATGAAGCATATGGATGGTCTATTGGTAAGTAGTAATGGATCAGGGAGCAGGACAGATATACAGATAACTGAAATACCAGAGTTAGAGGATTACTGAAAAGAGATGAGCACTGGTTGTGGATTTGGATGAATTGTGGACCGGACCAGACAAGTGGACAGAATGAATGATGAGATGTTGGAGGGAGATAAGATGTGGATAGGATTGGAGATAAGATGTGGATCGGATCTGAGATGAGATAAGGATCGGATCTGAGATCCGGATATGCAGATATGACAGTGGGCTTGTATAGGCAGATATTACTTAGTGTTATGTTCGCACTTTTGGTGCTTATGTAATCATCATAGTTTTCACCACCTACCAGTACCAGTCTGAGACTTAGAGTTATTAGCATGATTTCCTATCCTCTCTGAGCACTGAGCTTAGTCCAGAAACCCTTTAGGGTTGAATAGCAGCTATGCATAGCACATTTAGCCCAACATTAGAAGTCTACTTTCCAGTTCTCTTCTTGTTGTGTTTCCCACATCACTTTGCACAGAACCTTACTTGCCAACAAGCATGTTGGCAGTTAACCCTGAATGAATTTGATCTTGAACTCCACCACGTCCCAGGAAGCAAACCTGCTGCTCCTGATGCTCTTTCATGCCACTCTGATCATTCTTCTGATCCTTTGGATAATTCTGATGTCACACTTCTCCCGGATACCATGTTTTCTTGTCTTATTGACAATGACCTTGCCAACACCCTAAAAGCCACAGACCCTCTCTCTGACCCTGTCATTCTGGCTACACAACAAGCCCTTGATGGGTTAAATGCACCTTCTATGAAATCCACTCTCTCCAATTGGAAGTTTGATGATGGCACCTTGTTTTATAAAAACCATGCCTATGTCCCCATTCATTTCCGACACCACATTCTACACCTTCACCATGATCACCCCACTGCTAGCCAGCCTGGACACTTTAAAACTGAAGAATTAGTCAAACATAACTATTGGTGGCCTGGAATGGGCACATTCATCTGCAAATACATCAAGGATTGCACCCTATGCCAGCAAATGAAATTGGACACTCATCCCTCCACACCACCCCTGAACCCTATTCCTTTCTCTGTGCTTCGCCCCTTCTCTCAGATCTCCATCAATCTGATCACTGACTTGCCTGAATCAGGCAGCTTTGATTTGGTTATGGTCATGGTAGACCATGGCCTTATGAAGGGGGTAATTCTCTCACCTTGCAAGAAAACCATCACATCAGAAGGAGTTGCCCAACTCTTTTTCAAGAAAGTCTTTCTTAGATTTGGACTCTATGATAAAATCATTTCCGACAGAGGACCCCAGTTTGCCTCTAAATTCACCAAAGAACTTGGAAGACTCCTCAACTATGAAGTTGCACTCTCCCCTGCCTATCACCTGCAAACTGACAGACAGACCAAATGTCTGAACCAGGAACTCAAAACCTATCTTCACATTTACTGCTGTTCTACACCTCTTGATTGGGTAAAGCATTTGCCCATGGCCAAATTTGCCCACAATCACCAAAAACATGATGCCTGCAATGTTTGCCCTTTTCACCTCATGATGGGTTATGAACCCCAAGGAATCCCTTATATTCTCCCAAACTCTGCAGTCCCCGCAGCAGAAGATCAAGTCAAATACCTTCAGAAGATCCAAGAAGAAGCCATTTCTTGTCACAATCTCACCATGCAATGCATGTCTGATCAGACTTTTGGAAAGAAGTTTGAACCCTGGAAGATCAGTGAGAAAGTTTGGTTATTGGCAAAGAACCTTATCACTGGACTACCCTCAAAGAAGCTTGCCCCTAAACACTACGGCCCTTTCATGGTAGAAGCCATCCTCTCCCCTATCACATTCAAGATCCAACTCCCTACCTCCTGGAAATCACACCCTGTCTTCCATGCTTCTGAATTACCCTCCTATTGGGAAACAGAAGTCCACAGCTTGAACCACACCAAACCTCCCCCTGACATCATCAATGGACAAGAAGAATATGAAATAGAAGCCATTCTCGCCCATAAGGGAAATGAAAAAGGAAAATGACACTTCCTTGTATCATGGAAGGGTTACCCTTCTTCAGATAACTCCTGGCTCCCTGAAAAGGAATTAGACAATGCCCAGGAAATCCTGAAAATCTATAAAGACTACCTTCAACTCTCTCAACTCTTTACCTAGAAACCTGATCCCAGAATATGCCTTCCTCATGATCCTTGAACTCTTCTCTTGAACTCCATCACTCTCAGCTCGAACTTCACCACAAGCAAGCTCTTGTTGAATCGACCCTTTCTTCTCTCCCTTGTGTTTTACCTTTAGACCATTTCTTTTCTGAAAATATTGTTTCTCTTTCTTTGATGACCATTCACTGCAGTGCAGACCTGGCATCTAGCTATGCCCATACCATCGCAGCCCCTGCTGAAGAAACCACCAAGTGTTCCATCATTTATCATATGACCAAGATCAAGTCCCTCACCACTGAACGACTCCTAGATCGAGGGTTCAAGCAAGTGCTTACCCCAGAAATGATCTCTGAAATCGTGAAACTAGAATGCTCCATCTCTGTTGAACCCCTTCGCTTCTCCACCCAAGAAGTCCTAGATCTCCATCAGAATCTTCTGATGATGACACCCTGTCCCTGCTCCCTCACAGCTTGCAGTTTGTTCTGCAGGAAATCCACATTGTGCTTGTGGAAAGAAAAGAAACACTGTCGCCTTCGGAATAGGCCTCTCTTGTCCCATCACACCATCCCCTGCTCCACCCATCATCATTGATGAAGATAAACCTGTATCTTCCTCTGACTCTTGTGCCCCATCTGAGGAGGCTTATTGTGACCAAAATGGTGTCAATTATTCCACCATCACTTGCTGATACTGCCAGTAGGAAGGACATTATCAGGTCCATTGCCCTTGCTACTTCTGCTGAGAATGCCATCACCATGCTCTGAAATACCTCACTGCCTACTGTCCCACTCTTTGAGGATGCCGTATCATTAACGCCAAACCTAGCTCTTGGGCTTTCCATTATCAACTTAAGATCTATGAAGATAGAAAAGATCTTGAACAAGAGGAGCATGAAAAGCAGTTTGCAAGAGATGCTGACTTTGACCCTAACAGCTATCAGAATCTTAGTGACTGAAAGTTGGTGACTTCAGATGTTAACTGGGGGGTAATGTTATAGCACCCCACTCTTTTTCCCATCATCACTATGGATGCCTTATGGTTGTACTCTTGACACTTCCTTTTCACTGTGCTGTTTCCTCATGGTCTTCCTTATCTCTGACTCATACCTTTGTTTTCCCATGAACCTTCCTTTCTTAGTACTTGTTACCCTTTGCCCAGCATGGTCTGTGCATGATTCCATTACATATATAATCCCTAGTTACTGGTTGTATTTTCTCTAACTTAAATCTACTCAGTTCTCTTTCATACTCAAACTCTAGCTCCTTGGGAAGGAGGCTAGCCACTGTCCCATTTGAAACTCTAGATCCTGCAGGAGTCTAGATGATTGCTCCTGAGGGAGGCATAGACTCAATAAGGCTTTGTCCTTGATTGATCCTGATCTTGATTCCTTTATTGGAATGACACTCTATCCAAATTAATAACACTTATAGGACCCAAGCCACTGCCTGCCTAGTACGGCCCAAAATGCAGCAAGCAAGCTCATGGCCAAGCTTGTGTATGTGATTGTTTGAATCCATAGGGTTAGCATGGTCGGCAACCACATAGATGCTGGATCTGCAGGCATGGAGCCCACTCCAGTGAGGTTGCTGAGTCTGATGTACACAAGTTGCTTCAGAAGGGCATTCGTGGTGTCGCTGGGGTTGGGACTGAGATTAGACTCCATTGCTACTATAAAAGATGTGCTGACAGCTGAGAAAAGACCAGACTGATCAAGCATCAGTCTTACACAAGTCAAAGATAGGCATGCAAAACCTATGAAGACCAAAATGATGTCCATATCACCAGTGTATTGCTCGAGGAACTCACCATCATGTTCCTCTGCAACTCTTTTGTACACTCCCCAGAAACAAGACCAATTGTCCTTGCCACTCTTGGATGAAATTGTCAAGTCCTGGAGAACTTCCAATACTTTCTTCATGGTATCTGCTCTGCGCATAGGGTGTCATCAGCTGCAATCGCTCAGCTTATTGTTTGCTCACAATTTGTTTAGAGTTGGCTGGTCCTTCTGTGGCCCACTGAGACAATTCATGAGCTTGTTAAAAATCGCCATTGAATGGGACTTACAAAACTAAATTGCCATTCAGTGCAACTTTGGAAGCACTTTCCTGTTCATGAAGTTCTGATAGCTGGGAAGGCCCAATGTTCAAGCTGGAGTTCTGGTGAGGTGTTACACAGAAACATCAAGGCAGAACCACTTACATCCCTGACAGTAACTCCACTGCTGAAGGTTCACCATTTCCCTTCTCCCTATCTTGCTGTTATACTGGTGACAGATGTCAGGAATCAGTCACTTACTCTGAACCCTCTGGGAATCCTGTGGTATCCTGTTCAGGGCCAGGCTGCTTGTCTGTATAGGCACCCTAGTCCTCAGTGCCACTAGTGCTGGATGCTTTTGACATGAGGAAGTGAGAGCTATAGGTATTTAGATCCAAAATCAAAGCCAGTGGAATGAGGAAGAGTCTGAGCACACAGAGAGATAAGGACTGGTGGTACACAGCACTGGTTGAGTGCCTGCAGCTGCAACCATCCTGAACATGTGTTTATTGACACTGAGGGTGTTCTTGAACATTGTCATCTTGGTGTAAACCAAGCCAAGTGACTTCCTCCACCTCAATTTGAAATTTGACACAACATCGGGTGTCATGCGACTCATTGAGGGCACCCACTACCTGAACACTACTTGAATTAGCATGCCAAAGTCAAGTGCCAAACTTGTGCTTTCCTTGGCAGAAATATTTCATTCTGCCAACAACACTAAATGGGACCTGAGCTCAGCATCAATGAAGAACTCCCAATTCCATCACTGTGCTTCATGTCCAAACTCATTTTATCCATGACTGGGATCATCATTTCATACATACCACACAGATAACATGACACAATATCCTGTGGGTATGATATATCAGTTGCTTCAATCAGCACCCAACCGTGATATATCCCTGGTGTTGGCTTACCACAGGCATCCACAGATGATGTATCACCACAAATGATATATCACCACACCCTAATATACACTGCCGCATTTTGGGCATTTTTGAAACTCAGCTCTTTGTCATTCCAGGCAGCATATTATGACCGCAATTTTGGCTTCCAAAAGTGGAAATTCATAAAACATATACTATTTTGGTCATCTCCTCATTTCAGGCTTCTCCACATTATTCCCACACTCCGCATTTTCGCATTTTTAGCCACCTACTGTGGGAATTGCACCACTACACCCAAAACATCACCTATTTTTGGAATCTCCACAATATCAATTATTCCCACACCCTCCCCACCTCACTGCAGCTTCACCACCACACCACAATAGGTCACTGTGCATATATAAGTAGTAGTTTAGTATACATATGTATAATGTAATGTAATAGACCGCTTTTTTTGTCTATTTGTGTGCCTACTCCTCCTCCAGGGCCCTTTCAACATAGGGTAGGTTACAGAACACTTTCGCATTTTTGCCCTTTTGATAGGAAGGTGTCCTAGGATATTCAGAACATGTTTATGAGTATATTTGAAGTGATTCTAGTCTTTATTTGGCCCCCTGAAGCGTCCTACATCAATAGATATAGCATCTATACATGAACACACAAAATATGCTCTAATGTTATTATTTCTAGATGGATAGACTTGAAAAAATGATTCCCAGCTTCTATTCAGCAATAGGAACAATGTATTAGGAGCCCAAGACCATAGGATAATACCTTGTTGCATAGTGTACCCCCCTCTCCTGGTGGTTCACCCCCTGTGAAAATTTTTCCTGCAGAATCAGATCTCAAGGAGGGTATGTGGTCTACTCCTAAGCATATTCAGAGTATATCTATCATATAGCTAGCCCAAGACACACAGGATCCATCTACAGGAACAAAAACATGACAAACCACATTTTTCACAACTTTGATGTTTCTGACCACTCTACCCTTGCAATCATCTGTTCATATATCACCAGCATAGCATATATACTTGCTTTTGATGACCAAGATCAGCTCAATATAGGCCGGAATTTTGAGATAGTGTATATACTTGCTATTTCTACTGATTAGGGGCCCATACTTTCAAATCATCGAAATTTAATGATCAGACACCTGGAGCACATTCTAAATATATTCTGTATCACAGATCTAAATGTACAGAAATATCCACCCAGAATTGAAATCTGGGGAAGTGAAATAGATAAGAAATTGAGTGTGGGAAACTCCAAATGCCTAAAACATTGAAAATGGTTGGTTGAGTAGTGATAGGACTTTAATGCTCATCAGCTTACTTTACCACCACATCCCTTCCACATATCTTCCTCCCTCAGGGCAAAGTGTAGAATAGGTTCCTTGTGTAGTCTAACACATATACTATTAAAATTCAATAACATCTTTTTTATATGAACAGATGATTGCAAGGGTAGAGTGGTCAGAAACATCAAAGTTGTGAAAAATGTGGTTTGTCATGTTTTTGTTCCTGTAGATGGATCCTGTGTGTCTTGGGCTAGCTATATGATAGATATACTCTGAATATGCTTAGGAGTAGACCACATACCCTCCTTGAGATCTGATTCTGCAGGAAAAATTTTCACAGGGGGTGAACCACCAGGAGAGGGGGGTACACTATGCAACAAGGTATTATCCTATGGTCTTGGGCTCCTAATACATTGTTCCTATTGCTGAATAGAAGCTGGGAATCATTTTTTCAAGTCTATCCATCTAGAAATAATAACATTAGAGCATATTTTGTGTGTTCATGTATAGATGCTATATCTATTGATGTAGGACGCTTCAGGGGGCCAAATAAAGACTAGAATCACTTCAAATATACTCATAAACATGTTCTGAATATCCTAGGACACCTTCCTATCAAAAGGGCAAAAATGCGAAAGTGTTCTGTAACCTACCCTATGTTGAAAGGGCCCTGGAGGAGGAGTAGGCACACAAATAGACAAAAAAAGCGGTCTATTACATTACATTATACATATGTATACTAAACTACTACTTATATATGCACAGTGACCTATTGTGGTGTGGTGGTGAAGCTGCAGTGAGGTGGGGAGGGTGTGGGAATAATTGATATTGTGGAGATTCCAAAAATAGGTGATGTTTTGGGTGTAGTGGTGCAATTCCCACAGTAGGTGGCTAAAAATGCGAAAATGCGGAGTGTGGGAATAATGTGGAGAAGCCTGAAATGAGGAGATGACCAAAATAGTATATGTTTTATGAATTTCCACTTTTGGAAGCCAAAATTGCGGTCATAATATGCTGCCTGGAATGACAAAGAGCTGAGTTTCAAAAATGCCCAAAATGCGGCAGTGTATATTAGGGTGTGGTGATATCTATCTATATCTATCTATAAAGTAAGGTGCAACATGTGGGAATCGTCTCACCAGCTCATGTGACTTTCGTGTAGGTATGCTTAGGGACAGTTAAGAACACTTAGAATTGCTTAGAATTGCTTACCTTGCTTAATGCTTACTTTGGAAATCTCACGTGGTTTTCTCATGTGAGCTCACTAAACAGTGAGAAAAAAACTTGCAAATCAAGATCGAGAATTTGAGAGGCTAAATTCCACCAAGTACAAAAATGCTGCCAAATGCGATATAGTGGGCAGTAATCCGCATGCCTACTGTGCCATGGGCATAATACAGACAAACAGAGTGGTTTTCCTACTATATGGGAATGGCATCGAGAATAACAAAAGCAAAATATTAGAATTTGATTATGCAATTTGGTAACACAATTGATTACACAAATCACTACACAACTTGGCTGCTGCTTTTGATTAGAATTCTTGAGTTATATTGCCTTCCAAGTGTAATAAAGTGCAATACATACATTTTTGTGGGTTTCATTTCTTATCAACAATGATGGGAATTGACTTATAATTAATGAGGTCAGGCAACTCAATTATTGCACTTGCTAAACAACAGTTTGAATAACAAAGATGGATCAAAACATTCCTATACTGTGAGTTGCCAATTATATATTGCTATTGCTATGTGCAAGGTGCATCATGCTAATGCTTGCACATACTATTTAGACAACAACCACAGATTACGCCAGAACACAACCAGCAGTCACAATGTGAACGTGATAGACTTAACTGACTTCAGATGACCTCACCTACCAGATGTAATCATCATCACGCTGCCAATAATAATCAGGACAGGCCTCTACCTTCTGCACCACAGCCAAATTTCATGGCAGCTAATGAGCCACAAGCAGGGCCTGTTCCACAACCTTTTGCTTGGCAACCTCCTCCTGGATTTCCATATGGGCCACTGCCAGTTGACCAATATCCTGGCTTGCCACAAAATGCAATTGCACATGTGCTGCATGCTCATCGTCCTCCTCCTGTTAATTGTCCTCCAAGTCCTCCTGTTAATTTTGATGTGCTCTTGAATGAGCAAACAAATGCAGCTGGAAATAATAGACTTCACCAGCATAATCTTCACCGGCAGCAAGAGAGACAGGAGATAAGACAGGAGGCACGAGCAGAGCTTATGGCAGCTGGGATAGAGCCCCCACATGTACCTCATATTCTGAATGAACCTGTTCAACCTACACCTCCTGTGCCTCAACAGCAGCAGGAAGCCAAGTTGATGAACAATCCCCTTCATTTTGCACCTAATCATGCACCACCTTTACATGCACTCCCTGAACCTGCTATGGAGAATGAGCGCATTAGACATGACTTGCTTCAAAGACAAGCACAGGAGGAATTTCATTGACAGCAGATTTAGCTACACTTGCAGCAACAATTGCAGCAGCAGGAAGCTGGCCAACTGCAGATGCAGTGGCAGATGCAGCAGCAATTCCAGTAGCAGGAAATTGAGCAACTGCAGATACAGCAGCACTTTCTGCAGCAGGAAGCTGAGTGACAGCAAATGCAGCAGCAGATACAACAGCAGATGCAGTGGCAGATGCAGCAGCAATTCTAGCAGCAGGAAGTTGAGTGACT